TCTTTCTCTCTTCTTTCTTCTAAGGCTCTCCTCTCCTTCATGTGTCTAATCTCTCTCTCTTTCTCGGTCTGCTTTTCCATCTCTCTCCGTCTTTCTCTTTTTCTCGACCTTGATCCCCTCCCCCCTCTCTCTCTTTCTCATTCCCTCTCCCTATCTCTCTTTCTCATTTCTCTCCCTATCTCTTCCATCCCCCCCTCTCTCTGTCTGTCTGTCTGTCTGTCTGTCTTCTGTCTGTCTCTCTCTCTCTCTCTCTCTCTCTCTCTCTCTCTCTCTCTCTCTCTCTCTCTCTCTCTCTCTCCTCCCTCCCTCCCTCTCCCTCCCTCCCTCCCTCCCTCCCTCTCCCTCTCCTCCCTCCCTCCCTCCCTCCCTCCCTCTCCCTCCCCTCTCTCCCTCCCTCCTCCCTCTCTCCCTCTCCCTCCCTCTTCTCTCTCCCTCTCTCTCTCTCGCGAACTTCTCCGTGTACGTACATGTGTGTGAGTGCGTGTGAGCGTGACTGTGCGTGGGCTGGTTACTGTAATGGATCCACCGACTTATCAAAGCAGAGGTATTTTTCCTTCAAGAGAAAACAGAGACAAACGAAAGGTCTCGAAGAAGGAGAAGGAGGAGAAGAAGGAGGGGAAGGAGAAGGAGGATTAAGAGGAGAAGGAGCAAGGAGAAGAGGAGAAGAAGGAGGGGGAAGGAGAAAGAAGAATTAAGAGGAGAAGGGCAATGGGAAAGAGTAGGAAAAGGAGAAGGAGAAGGAAGAGGAGAAGGGCAATGGGAAAGAGTAGGAAAAGGAGAAGGAGAAGGAAGAGGAAAAGGAGAAGGAGAAGGAAGAGGAGGAGAGAGGAAGAGGAGAAGGAGAAGAAGGAAATATAGAAGGAAAAGTAGGAGAAGGAAAAGGAAAAGGAGGAGGAGAAGGAGAAAGAAAAGAAGGAGAAGGAAGAGAAGGAGAGAAGGAGAGGGGAAGGAGAAGGAAAAGAAAGAAGGAAAAGGAAGATGGAGAAAGAAAAGGAAAAGGAAAAGTAGAAGGAAAAGGAGAAGGAGAAGGGAACGAGAGGGAGAAGGAAGAGAAGAAGGAGACAAAGGAAAAGGAGAAGGAAAAGAAGAAAGATACGGAGAAGGAGGAAAAGGAGAAGGAGAAGGAGCCGATTTAAGATATCCTCTTTTTGTTCCTTGACTCTGTTATGGCTGAAGTGCTGAATCTTATTCTGTCTTATCTATCGGGTGGAGTTGGTTTGTCTGTCTGTCGCTCTTTTGTTTATTTTTTGTTTTGTCTGTTCTTTTGTCTTTTTCTTTCTTTTTTCCTGTCTCTCTTTTGTTTATTTTTTGTTCTGTCTGTTCTTTTGTCTTTTTTTGTCTTTCTTTTTTATCTATATTTTCTTTCTTTTCGTCTGTCACTCTGTCTAATTGTCTGGCTGTTCGTCTATCAGTCGGTCAGTCAATCAGTCAGCCAATCACTCAGTCAAGGCTATCATTCAAGTCAGTCATTCAGTCAGTCAGTCAGTCAAGTTCAGTCAGTCATCACACTCAAGTCAAGGCTATCAATTCAAGTCAGTATCCCAGACAGTCAGGTCAGTCAGTCAGTCAGTCAGTCAGTCAGTCAGTCAGCCAGCCAGCCAGCCAGCCAGCCGCCATTCAGTCAGTCAGCCAGCCAGTCCAGTCAGCCAGTCAGCCAGCCAGCCATTCAGTCAGTCAGCCAGCCAGCAAGTCAGTCAGCCAGTCAGTCCAGTCAGTCAGCAGTCAGTCAGTCAGTCAGTCAGTCAGTCAGTCAGTCCAGTTCAGTCAGTCAGTCAGTAGTCAGTTTATCAGTCAGCAGTCAGTCAGTCAGCCAGCCAGCCATTCAGTCAGTCAGCCAGTCAGTCAGTCAGCCAGCCAGCCAGCCAGTCAGCCAGCCAGCAAGTCAGTCAGTCAGCCAGTCAGCAGTCAGTCAGTCAGCAGTCATCAGTCAGTCAGCCAAGTTTAGCCCAGGCCAGCCATTCAGTCAGCCAGCCACCCCAGCCATTCAGTCAGTCAGCAGTCAGTCAGCCAACCACCAGCCAGCCATTCAGTCAGTCAGTCAGTCAGCCAAAGTCCAGCCAGCCCAGCCATTCAGTCAAGCATCAGTCACAGTTCAGTCAGTCAGTCAGTCAGTCAGCCAGTCAGCATCAGCCAGTCAGTCAGCCCTCAGTGTCAGTTCAGTCAGTCAGTCAGTCAGTCAGCCAACCAACCAGTCAGCCATTCAGTCAGTCAGCCAGCCAACCAGTCAGCCAGTCAGTCCAGTCACAACCAGTCAGCCCCAGTCCCATCCATCCATCCATCATCCATCAGTCAGCCAACCACCAGTCAGTCATCATTCAGTCATCCGTCAGTCAGTCAGTCAGTCCCTCTCCCTCACAGCAGCAAATCCCAAGAAAGGAGAGTAACAACAATAATGTCCAATAATCCTTTTCGCTTCCTCCCCTTTCTCTTCCCGCTCTTAGCAAACCGCTCGGACGCAAAGCCAAGGATTGTGTAGTCGAGTAAACACCGGTTTCGGGCGGTGTTGAGTGGGTGTTGGAGGGTGGTGGGAGGTGTTGAGTGGTGGGAGGTGTTTGAGTTGAGTGGTGGTGGGAGGTGTTGAGTGGTTGAGTGGTGGTGGGGAGGTGGAGGGTGTGGGAGGTGTTGTTGTTGAATGGTGGTGGGAGGTGTGAGTGGTGTTGGGGTTGGTGGTGGGAGGTGTTGAGTGGGTGTTGAGTGGTGGTGGGAGGTGTTGAGTGGTGGTGGGAGGTGTTGAGTGGGTGTTGAATGGTGGTGGGAGGTGTTGAGTGGGTGTTGGAGGGTGTTGAGTGGTGGTGGGAGGTGTTGAGTGGTGGTGGGAGGTGTTGAGTGGGTGTGAAGTGGTGGGGGAGGTGTTGAGTGGGTGTTGAGTGGTGGTGGGAGGTGTTGAGTGGTGTTGAGTGGTGGTGGGAGGTGTTGAGTGGGTGTTGAGTGGTGGTGGGAGGTGTTGAGTGGGTGTTGAGTGGTGTGGAGGTGTTGAGTGGGGTGTTGAGTGTGGTGGGAGGTGTTGAGTGGGTGTTTGAGTGGTGAGGTGTTGAGTGGTGTGTTGAGTGGGTGTTGGTGGGTGTTGAATGGTGTTGTGAGGTGTTGAGTGGGTGTTGAGTGGAGGTGGGAGGTGTTGAGTGGGTGTTGAATGGTGGTGGGAGGTGTTGAGTGGGTGTTGAGTGGTGGTGGGAGGTGTTTTGAATTGGGGTGTTGAATGGTGGTGGGAGGTGTTGAGTGGGTTTTGAATGGTTGGTGATAGTGTTGAGTTGAGTGGGTGTTGAGTGGTGGTGGGAGGTTTTGAGTGGGTGTTGGCTAGTGTTGAGTGGTGGTGGGAGGTGTTGAGTGGGTCTAATGGGTTGGGAGGTATTGAGTGGGTGTGAATGGTGGTAGGAGGTGTTGAGTGGTGTTGAATGGCGATGGGAGGTGTTGAGTGGGTGTTGCTAGTGTTGAATGGTGTGGGAGGTGTTGAGTGTTGGCTAGTGTGAGCAGGTGTGGAGTGAATGAGTGGGTGTTGAATGGTGGTGGGAGGTGTTGAGCGGGTGTTGAGTGGTGTGGGAGGTGTTGAGGTGGGTGTTGAGTGGTGGTGGGAGGTGTTGAGGGGTGTTGAGTGGTGTGAGTGGTGGTGGTGGGGGTGTTGAGTGGTGGTGGGAGGTGTTTGAGTGGGTGTTGAGTGGTGGTGGGAGGTGTTGAGTGGTGTTGAGTGTTGAGTGGTGTTGTGAGGTGTTGAGTGGTGTGGGAGGTGTTGAGTGGGTGTTGAATGGGTGGTGGGAGGTGTTGAGTGGGTGTTGAGGGTGGTGGAGGTGTTGAAGTGGGTGTTGAGTGGGTGGTGGGAGGTGTTTGTGAGTGGTGGTGTTGGAGTGGTGTTGTGGTGGTGGGAGGTGTTGAGTGGGTGTTGAGTGGTGGTGGAGGTGTGAGTGAGTGGTGTGTTGAGTGGGTGTTGAGTGGTGGTGGGAGGTGTTGAGTGGGTGTTGAGGTGGTGGGAGGTGTTGAGTGGGTGTTGAAGTTGTTGAGTGGGTGGTGGGAGTAGTGTTGAGTGGGGTGTGAGTGGGTGGTTGAATGGTGTTGTGAGGTGTTGAGGTGGAGTGTGAGTGGAGGGTGGGAGAGGTGTTGTGGTGGGAGGTGTTGAGTGGGTGTTGAGTGGTGGTGGGAGGTGTTGAATTGGTTTGAATGGTGGTGGGAGGTGTTGAGTGGGTGGGTGGTGATAGGTGTTGAGTGGGTGAGTGGTGGTGGGAGGTTTGAGTGGGTTGGCTAGTGTTGAGTGGTGGTGGGAGGTGTTGAGTGGGTGTAAATGTGGGTTTGGGAGGTATTGAGTGGGTGTTGAATGGTGGTAGGAGGTGTTGAGTGGGTGTTGAATGGCAGGAGGTGTTTGGTGGGAATGGTGGTGTGTTTGATGGGTGGGTGTTGAGTGGTGGTGGAGGTGTTGAGTGGTGGGTGTTTGAGTGGTGTTGAGTGGTGGTGGGAGGTGTTGATGGGTGTTGGGTGGTTGGTGTTGGGAGGTGGTGGAGTGGGTGTTGATGGTGGTGGATGCTGTTGATTTGGTGTTGAATGGTGGTGGGAGGTGTTGAGTGGCGCTGTTGAATGGGGTGATAGTGTTGAAGTGGGGTGTTGAGTGGTGGTGGGGAGGTGTTGAGGGGGTGTTGGCGTGTTGAGTGGTGGTGGGAGTGCTGATGGTGGTGAGTGTTTGAATGGTGGTCGATAGGTGTTGAGTGGGTGTTGGTGGGGAGGTTGAAGTGGTGGTAGGAGTGGTGGTGGCGTGTTGAGTGGGTTGTGAGTTGGATGGTGGGTGTTGTGAGTGGGTGAGAGGTGGGTGTTGGAGAGTGTGCTGGTGGGGAGGTGTTGAGGCGGGGTGTGGTGTTTGAGTGGTGGTGGGAGGTGTTGAATTGCAGTGTGCTTGGTGTGGGAGGTGTTGAGTGGGTTTTGATGGTGGTGATAGTGTTGAGTGGGTGTTGGTGGTGGTGGAGGGTTTTGAGTGGGTGTGTTGGCTAGTGTTGAGTGGTGGTTGGGAGTGTTGAGTGGTG